TAGAAAGGTGCCATACAAGTACAGGTCCATTTACCATTGTTATTCTCTAACATTACTTTTAAAGTTATCTTGGTATTTAAATATACTTTTTAGGAATTTACCAGAATTATTAAAAATGTTATATAACATTATATTGTCTATATACATGAATTACACAACATGTCAAGAAAAGAATGATAATGTTTTGAACTTACCTCTCTCCTAAATGGATCAATTAAGGCCACCACTGCTGGGTATTTACTGATGAGGCTCTGGTACATATCTACTAATTCATCTGGAGACTTCAGAACTCCTGTTGCAACTTCATACTTTCCTTTAGACTGAGACGAAAAGAAGAAGGAAAATGCTTGTTGTCTCTATCAACTGTGCCAACACTATACATGTGAATTAACCTATTCAGCTGTATGCATATATAATTGATTTACATAAGCACTCCTACACAAGGACGCCAAACACCTTGGCTCACATAACACCAGCGACTAATACTTACATAGTCCATTAGCTCAGGGGCGGCACAGTTTAGTGCTAAATGTATCTCTGTTCCCAGTGCCAGTCCAAAGTTAGTACAGGCTTCTGTGATTAGATCCAGAGGCTGCTCGGGTCGCTCATAGGTCAAAGCCGGCGCTCCATTGTCACTCAGAATTACCTGGGTGGCCTCGGGGCAAAGACACAGTTCACATTGTCAACAATATATATGTATTGTGCGTTTACACATATTACAACGGTAATAAATACATTAACCTACAATGTTCTTCACATAACTCCTCTTTGCATACATCTGTTGAAAAGTAGCAAAGCTGATGTAAATGACAACAGCTGAGTATTTATTCATATAGGTTTGAATGAGACCGCAAGATTATTAGAGGAAGAGTGTGTCCCACTCACCCTCTCCACTGTTCACGTTATGAATGTAAGTGCTAGGGGTCATTGAACAATACAGGAGATAACTCTGTATATACAGTACAAATGCTGCTTGAAGGTAAAGGTAAATAGGAGAACGATTGAATGAAGGATAAGCATTTGGACATACCTCCAGGCCTACATACCTGAGTTAATTTCAACATTAGCCATGAAAAATCCAATAGAATCACCTTTATTATGTGTATCTTTTAGGTAACAGAAAAAAGCCTCCAATCCTGCCTCCACCTTTTACATACTATTCCAATTCTAACAGTGAATAAATAGCAATGTCCCTCACCCCGGCTTTTGTGGAAGTGTTTATTATTCTCATCATCTCCTTCTGTAACTCAAGGGTCATTGTGATGATCTGTTGAAGAAGTTCATAGTTCAGAGCATTTAATAACTGCTATGGTGAAAATTTTACAAGGAAGAACTAAGGTGTCATACCAATAACATACCACATCATAGCAACAATCAATGAAGCAAAGGAACTTGCACAATAATCACTAACTTTATATAGTGAATAGGTCAATAGGTAGCCAACTCTGAGAAGAGGTGGACCAAAGACAGACAGAATATGTAACAACTACACAGAGATTTGACTGGAGATTGCTGAGTACTTGTCTGACTCGTTGTCCTGCTTTGGGGATCAGGATGACTTCCTCCAGTAAACTCAGTTTTCCAGGAGAATTCTTCCCACAGCTCAGCAAAGTTACCAAGGAGACGGGGATGTGAAACTGTGTTGGAGCCTGAATTAAATTGTTTAAGACATCATTACATTATGTTGCTCACAGTGTAGTTTTTGTGAGAATCTAGGTGTTTGTGCTTGTGTGGTCTAACCTCTCTTTTCTTCAGAACTGCTATGTATTTGTAGAGAGGGATATCCTGTATTTGTGCCGCACTTTTGGCCACAGCCAGAGACACTGAGCCAATGGCCGAGCTCCCAGGCAGAACTGGTTCTGGTGGCTCTGCTGGAGGAAATGGCTTCTCTGCAGTGTTGGTCTTTTTGCCTGTGATGTAAGCAAAAATAAGACACAGACATTTATGTGACCGAAGGAGTTAGATAGATGCACATTTTGGGCATTTTTGGCTAGGACAAATGGCCCCAGATCAGAGGCACAGACACAGAGGCACATAGCCATTCACACTCAGAAGCAATTTATAATCGCCAATTTACCTAACCTGCATGTCTTTGGATTGTGGTTAGGATTAGGGTTAAGTGCTAACCCTACCCCACCACACAGCCCCTGGAGGAGACTGCAGACTCAACACAAGATGAACCCAGCCAGCCGACAGATTAGAAGCAAGATCCTATTTGCTTTGAGGTGACCACTGCACCTGTATACTGTAGATTAAGTAACCTTAAAAAACTACTAGAGAGAGAATGATAAAAAGGTAAAACTACCAACCTGTTTCAGGGATCTCTTTGTATACAACGTCCTTAATTTTCTAAAAGAAGTGCATGACACTGAACACAAGACCCCGAATCATAAAGCCCTACTTTTACTTTAACTCTTACTGTGCACAATGAGTGGAATGCTGTGAAATAATGAGTGGAAAGTTGTCTAATAATGAAGGGATAGCTGCCTAATAACATTGGTCCAATATTAAAGACTCCTGTTGTGGTCGTGCATATGTATGTAAATTATATCTCAGTCTCAGTGTTTTATGCATATTTTTTTTCAGCTTTTATGCCTTTATTTGATAGGACAGCTGAAGACAGACAGGAAAGGGGGGCAGAGAGAGGGGATGACACGCAGCAAAGGGCCGCAGGTCGGATTCGAACCCTGGGCCGCTGCAGCAAGGACTTAGGACCTCAGCCTTGTACATGGGTCGCCAGCTCTACCTACTGAGCTAACTGGGCACCCTAGTAGTAAGTGCTTTTAAGACATAGAAGCAGTTCCGATTTTTTTGCAACGGAAGTCAGTTTTCCTTCTATGTTAGTTAAAATAAATCAAACAAAGGCCTGCCTGGAAAGCTGAAAAATCAAAAGCAAAAAAACTAATGATATGACTTAGAAAATTGTATTCAACAATATGAAGGGTAGTATGTGATTTGTAATAAGAGACCTAAGACAATTGGT